GGGTCGAGTGTGTCTCCCCTGATGTCGGTCCCAGTGGGATCACGACCTATTTCTACTTGTGGGCTACTTTTGAGTGAGAGTTTCTTTAGCATTGTCTGTGCTTCTGCATAAGGACGATGATCTGTGTGTGACCTAGTTCTTCCTGATATAGGTGAGTGTATAGTAGGTGGTGCTGCTGCTCTGGCTGCAGGAGTGGGCCGTGGCGGTGCATATGGCGATGGATTACTACGCGTATCATGAACACCGCACGGTGTCTCATCTTCTGGATTAACTAAACTGGCGGTTAAGTTCTGTTTTTCTGACGGTTTATCTTTTTTCTCTTGTTTTTTATTTTTATTTTCATCTCGCCTAACTGCTTCTTCTTTCCAGGCCTGGAACGTTTACCTTTCTTTTTTAAGTTTTTTGTTGATCCTATTTCTTTCAAAAAGAGCTTCTTTCAGTTGTGTTAACGCTGAGGGGCTGCATTTTCCTTCCCAAGTGGGACATTTTGGTTTCTTAGGATTTCTCCATCTACAAGCACTGATTTGTCCGGCGCCTGGACATTTCTTTTCTAGCCACTGCTCGTCAGCAGTGAGTTTTGTGGGCTTATTCCCCATTATCACAGAACTGCAAAGCCTTCTCTGGTACTAGACTCGGGGGTGGTGATTGACACGCCCTTCGACTCCGGGCTATTCACGGAGCGGTGTCAGTTTTACGAGACGGAACTCGACCTTTTCCCTTTGTCACCAGTACTTGGGCTCTTTGCAGGAACACAAAGAAAACAGTAAAAACAATGGAAGTAATTCAGCAGCTTACTGTGCTGTAAAATCAATTTACTTCCAAAACACATATACATACACACAGATAGACATTTGCGCGCGAATTTGTCACAAAGTACTTCCGGCAGAGCCTTGCGGCGGGTTAAACCTACACGTGTTTATTTCAAATCCTTGCGGCGGATTAGACCTACAGACCCTTGCGGTGGGTTAAACCTACACGTGTTTATTTCAAATCCTTGCGGCGGATTAGACCTACAGACCCTTGCGGCGGGTTAAACCTACACGTGTTTATTTCAAATCCTTGCGGCGGATTAGACCTACACGTGTTTTCTCACCCTCAGTTGTCTCTTGCTGGTTATTCAAGTTGTCTTGGCTGGATCCCAACGCCATGGACCAGACTTCACCGGCCCGGACCCGAATTTACGTCCCAGGACTTTCACCTCTACCTAGAGAGGGCTGTCGACAGACTTCGATGCTGGCTCCCCACGACGTCAGGATACAGCAGTCAGACCTTGGATTGGAGTCACAGAAACGTGTCTGTTGTTTCCATCGCTAAGCTCGAAGGACCAATTTAAATGACAGGGGATTTCTTTAAATCACCCTGTAATCCTTCAGCTGAGACACCTGAGTTAGAAAACACACAGAGAGACTGCAGTTGATTACTTAATGCTGGAAACCAGTGTTATTTGAACAATCACACATATAGGAACCTTTGACCTTGCTATGTTTTTTGCACTTAAGCCTAATAAATAATTGTTACATCATCTGCTGTTTCTGCACCGGAGTCCTGTTCAGTGCAGGCCACTCGGCCCCGTGACACTGCTAGTTTGCTGCTTCTGAGCGTTTACTACTGAAACTTGTTTGTGCTAAAATATCAAATTGATCTTCTGGACTTTGTGATAATAGTTAGTAGAAAACAACAGAAAAATAGAATGCAGTCAAAGTGAATTAACTTTGGTCGATCAACCTTGAAATTCAAATTATAATAAGAAATAATCATTCCAACAGAAAGAAGAGATTAAGAAACAAAGGGATGGAGCTGGTGGAGGAAACCGGGTCACCGGTTGGGTGTAAGGCCCAGACTAGTGGGTGTTTTTGACTGTAAAGTGGATGTAGTATTAACAACCACTGGTCCTGTTACCCTGCAGCCTGCACTGCAGGATATGTGTTGCAGCACTGAGAGCTCCAGAAAGAGCCTTCATGGTGGCCCTGCAGCCAACCAGCACTTCAGTCAAATGCTGTCAAAAGTGGTCCCAGAGACACTGTTGAGCTGTAACCATCAATGACCAAGAATTGTGTCATTTAATTCAGGGTTTCCCTGTATTATTGTTTGATATCATTTCTGAATAAATAAATCAAGATGACGAGCCTTTAAATGCACTTATGTTAGTATAAATATACAAAAATAAAGGATAATTTTCCTGTTAGGAGAATAAGAAATAAATATATTCATCACATGCATCAAATCACAACCTCCTCCTGCAAGAGTGCAGCATTGTGATTGGTTGATGCTGTTTCCATCATTTATGTTTGTTTACCTTCAACAAATTTGCTCTACAGAGCATTTATTAATTAGAAGGATTATTAATAAACATCTTTCTCTCCTGCTTTTGGTGGAGTGAAACAATAACTCCTATCTCCAGAGGTCCACTGGCACCTGGTCCTAACTTCACCCATGTCTGCACCCTCAGACATCCCACTGTGGAGGCATCCTCGCCTGGACCAGTGGCTGCCCTTGTGAGACAGACTTTATGGTCACAAACAGCCCTAATCTGAGAATGAAGGCTCCTTTACATAGAAAGCAGTATGTGGTGTGCATGACGCGGCTGCACTATAGGCTAAATCATATGTCGATGCACTGGCTGCTGCACTCACTCTGTACTGAACTCAGTTTTTGTACCCAGGTCCGAGCAGTCTCTATACATTTTAAGTGAAGTGCAGACCATCGCCTAACATGCATGACATGTCACAAGTAGGTGTTTGAACCTTGACTGTGGCATCTATGTTCAATCAGGTCGTCCCCCTGGACATTTAAGCGGTTGGAACACATTATACTGTAGTTCAATTGCGTTTAGTCAATTGATTACTCACTTGTGATGATTGGCCAGCTGTTTAATGATGTTTCTGATCATATAATGTAGTTTAACATTTAATGTTCAAAAGTTGGACTGCCAGCTTTGAGTCAGTGTGTAACAGTGTGTGTGTGAGAGCCATGTAATGTCCATGTGTGCATGCTGACTGTGCTGCTCTGACCCCCCTCCTCCTTTCAGGGTGGAGCCTGCTGGAGTCCGATGGTTGAGACCAGGTCTGAGGAAGTGTAAGTGTGTTTTTAATGGGATTCATGAAAACAAAGCAGCACACATTCAACCATCTTCATCATTCTGATGTCAGGAGTCATCATCAAAGGGTCAATCAATGAACAGATGATGGATCAATAACTGCAGCTGGATTGTGTTTGTTCTCTCCATCAGATTCCTGTCAACTCACAATCGACACAAACACAGTGAACACAAAGCTCCAACTGTCTGACAACAACAGGAAGGTGACACATGTGGAGGAGGTTCAGTCATATCCTGATCATCCAGACAGATTTGATGTTTGTGAACAGCTGCTGTGTAGAGATGGTCTGACTGGTCGCTGTTACTGGGAGGTCGAGTGGACGAGGAGGGCTTGGATATCAGTGAGTTACAGAGGAATCAGAAGGAAAGGAAGGAGTGATGAGTGTGTGTTTGGTGGAAATGATCAGTCCTGGAGTCTTTTGTTCTCTGATCATTATTCCTCTGTGTGGCACAATAACAGAGAAACACCCCAGCTGCCTCCGCCGCTGCCTCCTCCGCCGCCTGGGTCTCGAAACAGAGCGGGGGGGGGCGGGCAGCAGGGGGGGGCGGGGTCTGCGGGCCACTGCGGGCCGGCGACAGAGGTCGCCGCTGACGCGCGGAGCCACCGCCACACCGGCCACACCACAGGCACGGAACCTGTGGAGCGGGATGGGGGTGCGGGGAGCCAGCGACGTGGGGGCAGGAATGGGGATGTGCAGACTGTGGGGCACCCGGGGGGAGGAAGGGACGCGGGTGTAGGGAGGTCGGTACCGGGGAGATGGAAACAGGGCAGGTCGGTACAGGTCGGGTGGCGTGCACGCAGAAACAAGGAGTAGAGGCAGGATGTCAGGCAGGGGAGGGGGAAACGAAATGAGGCACACAAGAGGGATGCAACCACAAGGGGGGGAAGCAGCCAGGGGTCAGCCTGATGGGGGGGGTGCAGGAGAATGGATTGAAATAACGGGGCAATGGCGGGGGGGCCGGGGCGAGAAGGAAACCCAGCCGGGTAGAAACGAGAGAGAAATGGCAGAGGGGCCAACAGGGAGAGGGTGCGGGGGGCAGGCTGGACAAGAAAAAGAGGAAGAAGAACCAGGCGGTAAAGCACAAGGGAGCAAGGCAAAGGAGGATGTTAAAGCACAGGAGAAGGCCGGCCTGGGGAGGGGGACCACCGCACCGTGGCAGGGGAGCCAGCGGGCAGCCAAGCAGAACTGGCCAGGCAACGGGCGACGGGGAGAGTGGCCAGGGAAGGGACGGAGGCGGTGGGAACACGGGGCCAGACGGCGGAGGGGAGGTGCAGCGGAGAGGGGGAGGGGCGGGCGCAAGGAGACGGGGGGCGCCAGCGGGAGCAGGCAGGGAGGGAAACACCAACGGCTGGAGCAGGCAAGCCGGGCGCGGGCGCCGGATCGACAGCCAGCAGCAAAGCGCGGGCGGTGAAAGGCCGCGCGGAGAGGGAGCCGTCAAACACGAGGAAGATACGAAAGGGAGGGAAAGAGAGGTGACGAGGAGGAAAAGGAAAAACAAGGCCAGCGGGGTGAGGGGGAAGACAAGGGAGAGTGGACAGAAACAACCAGAGAGGGCAGCGGGCACCAGGGGCAACAACAAGGGGGTGGCGACGGAGTGAGGGGAGGGCCGGAGCGGGGAGCCGCAGAGCAGGAGAGGCGGTGAGGTGTAGGGGGCAGGGACAGGGGCGGGGGAACAAACGACGGGAAAGCGGCCGGGGGGCAGAGAGGCAAAACGAAAGGGGGGCAGCGGGGCTACAAGAAAAACAAGGGCGGCAGCGGAAGTAGGGATAGGGGCAGAGGGGGAAGGACGCACAGCGGACCACGGGGAGGCGGGGGAGGCCGGAGAGTCGCCCGGGAAAACCGGCCAGGGCAGCCACAGGAAGGAAGCGGGGGGTGGATGGAACGCGCAGCGGGACAACGGGGGAACAACCAAGAAGCAAACGGGGAAGCGCCGCGACAAAAACAGGGGCGGAGGGAGAAACGGGTGGGCGGAAAGGAGCAAAGGGAAAAAGGGCCACAGGGAAAGCAGAGGGCCACGGGGAAGGGTCCCGCTGGGGGGAGAATAGGCCAAAGAGAAGCGGGGCGGGGGAAGGAGGGACGCAGAGAGGGGCCACGCCCGACGAAAAGCAGGAGGTTAGAGGAGAGGAAAACAAGGAGAAGAAGCGGGACGCGGGAAGGGCACAAAGGCCGCGGGGCAGGGAACAGAACAACAGACAGGAGACCAGCGGCAGCAACGGAGGCGAGGAGAGAGGAGCAACAAGAAAACGTGAGAGGAGACCACACAACACCACCGGGGGAAAAGCGGGCCCCAAGCAAGCCGGCAGCAGAGCAGCGTGCAGCAAAAGCACACAGGCGCCGACCGGCAAGGCAGAGCGGGGCAAAAAGCAGGGAAGCCAGGGAGGAAAACAAAGGAGGGCAAGCAAAAGAAGAGGGGAGCGGCAAGGAAGAGAAGGGACGGGCGGGCAGGCAACACAAAGGGGGCCCGGACAGGGGACAGGGAAGGAAAGGGACGGGAGGACCACAACACAGGCAGAGGGCAGGCGACAGGAGCAGAGCGGCAGCGAGGCAGCAAAGGGCGCCCGGCAAGCCGCACTGCCAACACCGACACGGGGAAAGGGAAACCCACCGCGACGGGGCAACACAGGAAACGCGGGGAAGAACCAGGGCGCAGAGCGCGGAGGAACGCAGGAAGCGGAACGGGGGAGGGCGGCAGCCGGGGGACGTGAGAACGCGACAGGGGAGGAAGGGAGCCCAAGAGAAGAAAGCGGGAACACACAGGGAGGGAGGGGACGGGGGCACGGAAACCAAGTGGGATGAAACAGAAAACGCGGAAGAAAGCGGCGAGGGGGAAGAGGGCGGCGGGTACAAACAGGGGCGAGGGCGGGGCCCCAGGGAGGACCGGTAAAGACAAAGCAGGGGAAAGGGGGGAGGGCAGGCAGACAAGACACGGGGGAAAAGGGAAAAAGAAAAGAAAGGACAGACAAGAAAACGAAAAAGGCAAAAAGAAAGAAAAAAAGAAGTGGAGCGGAGGCGGCGGCACGGGAGCCAGGGCAAAAGGGACGGCCGGGTCCGGCAGAGCGAACCAAGCGGGGAAGCAAAACAGGAAGAGGCAAGCAACCACAGAGGGGGGCAAGGAAGAGGAAGGAAGCGGGCAAGGGGGAGGAAGCAAGAGGGGGAGACAGAGTGCGGCGAGAGGTGCGCCACACAGACACACACTAAGGGCCAGCAAAACAAAACGCGGCGGCGCGGACGAGGGGGACGGAGTGCGGCGGGGGCGGGCGGAGTTGTGGAGGTGGGGAAGGCCGCGGCAGCGCGGCACGAAACGGCCGGGGGGAACCGGCCCGGACGAAAGCGCGGGGGCGAGGCGACCGGGCACCCGCGGACGCGCGCACAGACGGGGAGGACAAAGGTATGAAAAAACAAGCGAAGCAGGAAAGAAAGCAGAAGAAGTAGAGAAGGTGAGGGCGGAACCAGGCGCCCCGGGGTGAGCGGGGGAGGAGGGAACGAAGGAACGGACGCCCGCAGAACGACGAGGGAACGAAAACAGAGAGAAGGAACGGGGGAGGGAAAGGGCCAACAGGACGCGGGGCAAGGCGAGGGAAACGAGCGGACCAGGGAAACGGGGCCCGCGGGGAAACCAGGGCCGCGGGGCGAAGCACACACGGACAGGGCACGGGCAGGGGGCCCCGGCGGACGGGAACGGGGGGAGAGAGCGGGCGGAACACGGGGGGGCGAGGGGGCAGAAAAAGCGACAAACGAGGACGAAGCAGAAGCCGCCCAGGACCCGGCAGACGGGGGCGCACAGGAGAACGCGGGCGAACAAGCGGGGAAGGGGCGGGGCAAGCGGAACAGCATAGGCGGAGAGGGGGCGCGGCGCGGGGCGGCGGCGGGGGCCCCGCGCGGGGCCGGGAGGCGCACCAAAGAAAAAAAAAAAAAAGAAAATTAAACCCTCTTGTGCAAAAAAAAAAAAAAAAAAAAAAAAAAAAAAAAAAAAAAAAAAAAAAAAAAATAAAAAAA